GCGAAAAATCCACTACAAGAGAAAAGTGTGATTGTTTGGTTAAAAGAGACAATTTAAGGCCAAAGTGTGAACGCAAAAGAACTCTAAACCACGTGGTCAATGAAACTCGTACTGGATAAAGAAACTAAACACTAGGGTGACCATTTTTAATGCTGGGTTTAAAGTGCCCTGTGTGAGACACCATTTGTAAACTTCCGTGATTTCAATTAACGGGACCAAAAATTTCGAAAAGTGGGCATTTGCGGCGTCTCACGATCGCCGCAGTGCACTGTGACAAGCGGGGAGAGCCCGTGGAGTCTGATAGCCAGGTCAACAAAATATCATCGATCTGTCTTCCTCGCTGTGGGTTGACATAACAATACCCATGAAACCACATGGTATCAAGTGCTGCACAAATACACTGGTTTGAATAGAAGCAGAGCAGGAAGAAAATTACCAACCTTTAGAAGTTTCTTTGCGAGTATGGAGGAGTCTTCTGTCAAAATGCTAAATAAAGTAAAACGGGAAAAAACGATAGACAAGGAGAGTGATTCGGTAAACAAGCTAAAGACACATCAAACACAATCAGTGGAAAATAGGAGCACATCTTAGCTGACCTGTTAAGCATGACTACACGACGCAGGGTGGATCTAGTCGTAGAGAGGCAAGATGGGCTGCTTGGGTGGGTTTCATGCTGTTCGGTTGTCAGAAAATTATGATCCCGGAAGGATTCAATGGTCATGGTCCCCGTGGTCATAATATTGGGTCGTTCCAAAATTGAATGAATTTTTTCGATACCATCCAGAAGTGACTCGAAGAAGACATGCTAAAAAATAATCCTCATTGTCCAGTTGTCGTACAGTTTCGGAATGGCTTAGGTATTACCAAATAGTCAACATGCTGTTCGCGGATACGTGTTATATGAATTCCTGCAAGTGCGCAAAGCGGTCGAGGCTTGTCGAAACATGCTTGACGTATTAGGCACGGATGCTCCCAGTTACGGTATGGTGCAATTTTGGTTTCGTCGATTCAAAGTAGGGAATTACGGACTGTCAAACCTCGGACGGTATGGAGGTAAGCCAGAGAAGTTTGTCAGCAGTATCCAGGATGCTATAAAGGAGGATACGGTACAAAGTGTGCGTGAAGTTTCCACACACCTTGACCTTCCAAAAGCCAGCGTTCACCGCCATTAGCCCCAATCCGCAATGGTCCCACTAGTACCACACGAATTGACCGAGCAGCAACTTGTGAAATCTTGCGGCATCGCACTTGCATTGCTCACCCGTGGACGTAACCATTGATAGCTGAACGATGTTGTTAATGGAGATGAAAAGGGGTTCTTCATGTCATCCATAGAAGGAAGTGTCAGCGGATCGCAGCAGATGAAACGCCAGCACAAATCCTGAAGGGTAAATTGTACAGCAAAAAGGCAACGCTGTCGATCTGATGCGACCATCGAAGCGCCATCTATTAGGAACCGCTACCCGATTATTGCACGGTTACTGTCTATGTCTGTTGTCAACAACTGCAAAATATGGTCGATGAACACCGAAAAAAGCATCCAAGAGCGACTCGAATCCTTCTTCTGCATGACAACGTACGTCATCATGTGGCAACGATAACGCGTCTCAAAATAGAGTAGCTCGGTATCGATGCACTTATGCATCCAGCATATAGACCAGACCTTGCTCCTACTGAGTACCACGTTTTCCGCTCGTTGCAAAATAAAAACAAGGACTTGAAATTGGGTAACCACAACAGCGTCGAAACTACACTGCCTAGTACTTTGACAGCCCGCCCAGCACTTTCTATGATGGCTTGCCTGAGCATTGGCAATAAGTCCTCAATAACAATGGGCTTTAGACTGATAAAATAGTGTTGTTTGTTTGAAAGAAACATTGATTGAGAACATGTGCTCAAAAATCTAATTGATTCCGGGACAATGCAACAATAACAGCGATGATAAGCGCAAACAGTCACGAGAGAAATGGAGCTTAAATTGCCAACAGTACCACGTACCGATGCATCGCTAGCATACGGCCGTAAACGGTAATGTGCAAAGTGGGATGACGACGGAGAGCTCAAATCGAGACGAGAGAGAAGAGAAAAAATCCAGATGCCTGAGTGTAGCAAGCTACCACATGCAGTCGAACTGTTCGCTGGGATTGGCAAGTCGGTTGCAACAAACTTGCTAAGCTCAGCGAACAGTTCGACTGTCACCAGAACAACCCGAATTAACAACTTTTGCTCTTATTCAATGAACAATGATTTATCAATGGTAAAAAGCATGTGCTTGACAAGTCCCGTAGGATGGTTGCAGTAGAAACTAACATTTGAAAGATCACAGAATAAGGAAATCGTTATTTTAAGCGTATACCGCCACATTGCGGAGAGGGCTGTTAAGCACATTGTTAGCTTTGCGTTGTTCGTCCTCCAAGTGGAACGGACTATATCAAGTAAGGTAAGTTTGAAAGCGTTAATTCAAGGCATTTTTGAAAAGCGTCAATGTAGGGGTAATGATAACGTGAGTCGGAAGGACATTCAAGGCACGGGACACACTGAGGGAGAAAACGTTGAGTCGACAATCAACTCGAATGTAGTGGGTAGCCAGTTTGAGCTGGTGACCTCTCAGATTGTTATTTAGGCTCGCCTGCAACAGACTGCGACATGGGTGAGTTGGGTTCGTCAATAGTAAGTGAACCATAAGTAGATCTCCTCGCTGACGTCGATATTCACCACTGTACAATCTCAGGGACTGCAGCCTGCGTTGGTAGGAGAGATGAAACAATCCTCTAACAAGTTTGGTCGTTCTATGTAGCGGAGCTTGCGGCACAGTAGCTGAGGTGTTCCCCACCTCTAGCTAACGTGTATGATGATGATGGCGTTGCGTAGCTTCAAATGCATCGACGTCGGGCTTGCGCCAGGAACGCCAGGCCTGGATCGAATATTCCACGTAAGGCCTCACGCAGGTGTTCAGTATTTGCGGAAAATTTCATGACTCAAAATTCCCGAAAACCCTCCGTAAGAGTCCAATATAATGACTGGATCTTTTTGATGCCTTTTAAGCCTGTCTCAATTAACCAAGAGCGTCCTGCACGATCACACAGAGGCCGTTTTCTTGGGAAGCACGTTGTTACTGCTGGTCCCCAAGTCGATATTCACAGATAAGCTGATGGCGCATGCTTACGACTTTGCAGTTCGTCACGTTGAACTGGAGCCGGTGGTCGGATGATCACGCATAAGCCTTGTCGAGATCGTTCTGCAATACCATGTGATCATCCGATGTATTGGTGTCATACCAGATTTTGACCTCATCTGCAAATAGTAAGAAATTCGACTGCAGTACACTGGTATGATCGATAAACAATGTTAGGAATAAACTTGGCCCCAGTATCGATCCTTGGGGCACGCCACACGACGTCAAATGGCTCGGAAATGGAGCTGCAGACTCACACACTCAGCTGACGTTGAGCGAGGAAGTTGCCGATCCAACCAAGTATAGGGTCACCGATTCCATATCTTCGAAGCTTGTGAACGAGAATGCGGTAGCCCAAAGTATAGAGTGCTTTCGAGAAGTCCAGGTAGACAACGTCGACTACCACTCTGGCATCGGTTGTCTCTGTCCAGCTTGCTCGGGATAGCAGCAAGTTTGTAGTGCAGGATCGACGTCGGCGGAATCCGTGTTTCTGTGACACTAGGATGTTGTTGCTCTCAAGATAACCCATGAGCGCCTCTGCAATTATACGTTCCATTAGAATGGATAAAACTGGGAGAAGAATTATTGGACGATAGTTCGAGGGCTCCGAACGATTCCACATTGTGGGAACCTGCATTTCGTCGAGACGTTGAAAGAACCGAGCTAATGGTTCGGTAAGGTTCATGACCGTTGTCTTCAATGCTTTCTGTTTGATGTTGTCCACCCCAGGTGAGGTATGCACGCGCAATGACATTAGCGTTTTCATCACAGTGGCTGCAGTGAGCGATACGTGGTTTAACGCTGGTGGCGATGGAAACTGTGTCAAAAGCGGATGAAATGATGATTCACTCCGGGCATACAACACTACAGCAAATTCGTCGTTGGAAAACTTTTGCCAGTCGATAAGCATGCACAAGTGAACAGCTCTACTTCCTTCATGACTGCTTGAGAAGAAACGTACTCCCAGCGAGTACAAACCACAAATCAGCACTAAATCATCCGGATTCCTGAAGACTTGCAATACAGTATGGGAGACGCATGGTCAAACTGATGATTACAGATCCCCCAGAACCGCCTTCGCAAATAGGAGAATGCAACAAACGTGCCAAGCTCAGCGAACAGTTCGACTGCTACCAGAACAATCTGAGCTACCAATTTTCGTTCTTATTCCTGTTTGATAACCGATGTGGCAAAACTTACAGGCGGAATAGAGGACGACGGAATGCACAAACCCAGTAAAGTCTTTCGATCTGTCTCACTAAGTGTCTTTTCGCAATATCATAGCCCAAACAGATTGGAGCGCAGTTTAACTAGATACGCTGTAGGCAGACAATGAGCATTAAGGTGGGCGGTAGCCTGGAATTCATCAAGGAACGCAACGTAGTCGAAGTAAAAGCTTCGCGTGGAGAGAACGATTCAGCGTGACGTCAGATATGAACTGTTATTTCGCGCTTGATGCCCCGCTACATAAGGACGATGGTGAGCAACATATGTGCACAAAAAAAGATTCTCCACCACACAAGGTTGTCGTGCCTCTAATTCAAACAGTTACAGAAGAACACTCAGGCAAGCAGTGGCAACGGGTCATAGTACTCAAAGATAGGAAAACAATGTCCTGGAGAGAGAAACGGTCCACTGCCAGTACAATAATCACTCGATACTCTTCACCAAGGGTGGTAAGTTGACCAATGAATACCAAGATGCTCTTTAAAAAATCGTGCTTCAAGTACACTATCAAGCAGAAGCTAGAGAAAGTAGATTCAAAAGCTTATAAACAATAGCTACCGGAAGGTTACAATTGTGCTATTCGCAAGCAGCCAATGTGTTACCGTATGCATTTAGCCGCTGCTGCCTGTTGGACAAACGCGGGAAGGGGTTGCGCGTCGGTTTGTGAGCCACTGCGTTTACGATGTTTTTTCCGCTTGGTTAGCTGCGAAACGGCTGATTTGGCTTGTATCTCCTCTTCACGCTGGCCTGGGTGGCCGGAGGTTGCACTGGAGAACGAGCAAACGCTGCGACTGCGGGTATCGCGCAGAATCTTTCGGCCAGACGTCAGCTTTACGCCTCCAGTGGCAAATATTAATTTTCCCTTGCGGCCGCCTTCCACATTGCGTTTGGTCGCATTGGTTTGTTTTCGGTTCCCCTCAGTAGAGGTCAGGCTGGCAGCGCCGGAGTCTGCAAGTAGACAAATTATGGGGTGTTCAGCAAGTCAAAGGTATGTTTAAAAGCAAAAGTTTGGGACAATTCGCATTTACTTGTCTGCTACAAATCTGTGCGAATCATGTTCCACATTGAGATTGCGGGTCGCATTGTGGGTTTGGTAGCATCCACCATTCAAATATGCTTCACTACTTGTCGGTTTGACGCATGTCCTCGCAAACCATTGCTGGTCAGGTTTTAAACTAAGATGAGAACATTGCAGAATGCTGAACTGGAAAAACCAGGTTAACTTGCCAACAAAAGTAATTTGATGGCTTATCAGTTCGTGTTCATTTCGGAAGGAAGAAGTGATCGTTGTAGACAATGAGATTAACGATTAGCGAACCATTAGCAATTTGTAGGTCTGTTGAAACATGCAAGACTTGATAAGGCGCAAGGTTAACAGTTTATTTGTAACCAGTCATACGGAATAAAATATTCACCATACTTAATTGATTGTCACTTTCTATCTTTGTCTGCTATTCTATGTTGCTCTCATAAGTTGATCTCGCAGTCCACTGTTACGTTAATTCTGATGCAATTGATGTATTGCTTAGTTTGGAATAATTTTATATCCATGGAACCCGCAGTTGAAACACTTTAACAGGTAGACAGTACACTTGTCCAAGTGTAATTGCTTTCCAGGAAATTTCTGTTCAGTCTTTTAGATCTACTGGTGTTGACTCTTGCAAAACCCTTGCCTGTAAACAAATTCATAATCCGAACAAATGCATAACTCCCTGATAAGGTGCAAATGCCGTACAGCTACGTTTTGTCAGTGGTTGCATATATAGCATGATTTCTGCATGAATATAGTGTTTGCATCTTAGAACTACGTGGCAAACTTTACTATTGAGCCGTGAAACAAGTTAAAATTGGTTTCTGCTGCCGTTTGAATGCTGTGGCATTTGACGCACTTCCAGTTGTTCAGTTTAATGGGGTGTCGTAGGTGAAACTGCATCCTTCACGAGGGTGTATAACGCATTCTTGAATTGACTTGAATGAGTAACGCACAACGCTCATCCGAGACCGAAGTTGGTCCTGAGGTCAGATGGGAGCGTCATTGGTTGTAGCCGCTAGTCATGCACACGAACTGATAAGCCATCAAATTACTTTTGTTGGCAAGTTAACCTGGTTTTTCCAGTTCAGCATTCTGCAATGTTCTCATCTTAGTCTAAAACCTGACCAGCAATGGTTTGCGAGGACATGCGTCAAACCGACAAGTAGTGAAGCATATTTGAATGGTGGATGCTACCAAACCCACAATGCGACCCGCAATCTCAATGTGGAACATGATTCGCACAGATTTGAAGCAGACAAGTAAATGCGAATCCTTAGGTATAGCATGTGAAGCACCGCCAATTACCAATGAATATCTTGCGAGCGTCTACTATACCGAAATTCTTCTGTCAAAAGGGGCAGGGCCTACACAAATCAAACTCTGTACCGCCTCCTAAATATTTGCGAATAAGGAATTGAAGTGCACCACAATTGCCGACGCATGGTCCCTCCTGGAATTCAGGGACTGTCCGGCTGAACCCTTTAACATAGCTCCGTCATCTGTACTCCTCAAGTGCAGCGTCACTTAATGAATGATCCTCTTGTGGGTCGTCTTCGTTGTGGCTGGGATTTTTGAACACTGGTGCTGTTGCTTGAAATCCGCCATGATTATGACACCACGTAATCGGCGGCAGAACCCATCGGACTGAATTTATTCCTTAGTACACGTCAATGTCTAATGAAATAAAATATACTTGTCGAACCATTTTAGTTTCATTAGTGCAACCATCTGATAATTGAGGGTACGGATCTTGCGCACAATCATTTTCCATACTCCTTTAGGATTGCCTATATTGCTTCGATAGATGAATCTTGCTGTAGTGACCAGTCCACTTGATTTGTAGTTCAGGTAAGTTCATGGAAGCCAGTTTACAGTATTCCTAGGATGACTGCTACGGAAGCGAGTGTGACAGCAGCAGCTTTCACCAAGCTAGGGCCACTGGATGTTCACTAGGTATTACTGGATTCATGCCTCACACTCCACGACAAGTTGTTAGCAGCTCGTCAACTTCAAATTCATACATGAGGGATCTGATTGCGGTTTGGTGCGAGTCCACCAGCAGACGTGTAGTGCTGCCCCAATCTCAGATATCATCTCCGCACTCTCTGCTTCCAGTTCACAAGGCCTGTAGGGAATTTGAACCCCTGTTCAATTTCTTTGACGTGTCAAAAGGACGTATGAGCTGAAAGCGATTACGGTTCATTTTGTCTTGGGTATTTTGCAACTAGTGCAAACGGCAGCTTCACATAAAACAGTAAATCTCACCCACCCACATTTCGCCAACACTCAGGTGGATCGAGCTTTAGGGCACACGTAGAACATCCGCATTTCTTTTGGTAGCAGCAGTCTAACGAAATAGGAAAACAAATCTATACCAGCACGTCACCATGATCTGTTGTTGTTCTGTCGTTGTGGGAGCACGATTAGCCGCTCAGCTGTACATCCCGTGGAATTATATCGGAAGTTAAAAGAGTCCCAGAGAGTCCCACCGGCCACCGGAAATTAACTAATGGGCAATACTTTTACGCTTGTTAAGTCATTCGCAACTACTGAATGTGTCATGACCGTGGAACAAACGGTTGAGCGTGAACCCTCAGTGATCTATTTACACAGTTTCCATGGATACTTAAAATACCAAAAATGCTAGTAGGATGGCATATTAAGGTTTTCCAGATTGGCCGGATACGTATCTGGGCGATAAGGGATATTTAAACATTCAAGTCTGCCAAGGCGGGGAACTCAAGTCAAGTCAATAAAATGCTTAATACACCAACAACGCTTGAATATTCAGTCGTAAACAGACTGGTTTCATCAAATAAATGCATCGTACGCGCTGGATTCTTCCATCACCTTTCTTTCTAAAATGGGTGATTAGATTTGACCTAAACGCTTCTTTATCTACTTTAGGATTCTTTTACCATACCAATACTGTAAAATTCCTTCTCGTGTTCATTGCGAAACTGATTTTGATTTAATTGTCCAAGCTGATGGAATAAAATGAGATTTGATAAAATCTGTTCAAAAGCCACTGCACTCAGCTTTCTTTTTATTTCTGTATTCTGCTGGAATTAACTCCTTAGGCGGCCGCGCACTTGCAAATAGATCCGATGAGCCTCCAGTAGCTGGTAGACATTGTTCCGGACTCATTTATGCAGAAGTAGCATCTCATATTTTCACCGCCTAATTGTTACGAATTCTTATTTTGCTAAGGTGGTTTATGTGAAGGTAACATTCAGTATACAACAGCGTTGTCAATAACCCTTTTATCATTTGCTGGGATAACATTAAGCAACTGTCGAAGCGCCACCAACATTTGAACACGGTAGCCAGTGCATTATGCACTGCTGTCGAGATGTTGCAAACCACCAGCCAAAAACGTCCGCATCGACCCAATCTGAACTGGCCGGTGTCGAAATCGTCGAGGGTCATTAACATATTTCAAGGACACATGCACCGATATGCGTCCTCACGTCGTATTCACACCCCCAGACATGCGTGGGTGAGTAAATACAGTAGACTTACATGCCATTGGTGGGTCGGCAAATTAGTGCGTTCCAATCTACCCCTGACCAGCGCGGCGACTGAGCAAAAACGAAAGACTCTTCTCAAACGTACGGTACATGTCGATAAGACCACTCAATTGGTCTGTGCCTCGCAATGTCGAGGAATAAAACGTTTAATTTTATTTATTTTATTTTAAATGCGCTGCACCTGATGAGCGTGCGTCTGTGAGCGAAAAGCCGCTAAGCGAACGACTTGGACAGCAAGTCGGTGCTTCAGGGTCACATCATTTAGCCGGTATCATTAGTAACGACTCATTTCCGTCCATAATGTTTATTCCTTACTGCGGCCAAACAACAGTCGGCGACCGTCATCCAAACAGTGCAACCAGGTGCAGCCAATAGTCGAGACCGTTCGGTACGCAGTTGATTGACTGCAGTTTGATTGACTGGCACACCGGCACATATCCGATGCACTGAGGTCATTATACCATGGATACAATTGAACGTAGTGATAGAGCGCGAATTGTAAAGCAGATCACTTGTCTTATTAACGAGCAATATCTAAAAGCACTCCGCTTCGAATGTGGTTGCAGTGAGCCAAATAACTAAAGTTTGTATCAAAATAAATCGAGGAGCAAATTAAGAGCGCAAAAGACAAATTGGAGACCACGGTGGCTAAAAGTGTGTTCGGAGCTCGGCCATTTAGAAATAGGACGTTTTCCGTAAGACGATGATGTTCTAGATCCGAGGCTCAACTCTGAATATTCCAAGGTGAAACAAATGGTTTCATGTCTGGTGTTTAAGCCGCTGCTAACATACACATGTAAATCGTAACGAGTAGGGGACTGTTTGTGGAGTGCGGTGTCGGGGCGAACAATCCAACTAGATCGGAGTTCACCGAGTGTCGTCGTCCAAACAGAAAGATCAGAGGAAACTCAAAAATGCGATTGAAGATCATGCATTAATTGAAACTAGAGCGACCACATTCCTTACATTATGACAACGATGCCCTAATGTTAGCAATACGGATTAAAACACAATACTAAAGCTCGCACTGCATGTCGTCAATCGGGTAATCCCAGAGACCTTTCGCGCTGCGACGCCGATCCAAAAACAAGCAGCAAATAATGAACGAGCGGCTGTCACAGTGTGCGGCGGACGCAAAACAGTGCGGCGGCGTTGAGAAGCGGAGCACGTGGAATGACCAACGAATAGTGAGGAAGGGATGGTGTTTGCCACGTGCGAATGCCCTGCGCAGAGTGAAGCCCCAGTTGCGACCACGGGTCTCAGTGAACAAGACAGCGCCGTACATCGACTACCAAAGAAGATAATTGTGGCAGAATGGTTTACATTAAGCGGATTGTTGGATCTAAGACGGAGGGTATCGTGTCCAAGACATCAATAGTAATGTT